GTAAAGATCTAATTCACAACTGGCACTAAATTAGTATAAAGACTGTTCCATAAATTATTTAAACTTTCTTCTTGGACCAATAACTCTTTATAATTAGAAAATGCTAAACTAGAAATAAACATTTTTTTAAATAGGGAATAGGAAATGATGATTAGTTAGTTCATCAAGATTTGCATGAATTCGTGCAAGTCTCCTAATATATTATTAAACGAATATAAGGAAATTTGCCGATAAGTGACCCAGCATTGAAAGACTACTACGTTCAATAATCCTAAAGGTTAAAGTCAATACCGATCGAGGTCCAAGGAAAAATAATTCGAATTTATTTTTATTCAAGGAAAGTTTAATACTAAAGATAAAGAGTCAATATTGATATTCTGAACATATATAAATCGCTGCATAATATCCTATCATCTAAATACCATATATTGATTTTGATTAAATTTGTGTTAAGAATCTTTATAATAGGAATTAATAATGAGATTAAATAAAAAGCAGCCTAAACGGTCTCTCTGCCTGATGCCTTTTAAGCAAATGAACCATTATTAAAAGTTGAAACCACAAGCATCCGAATTGGTAATATTCGGGAAAGTAAGAAAAAAGAAATATTTAAATAGATATTTTTCCCAGCATAGCGAGTTTTTTTATTATTATTAGTAATGAATATTAATAAGCACAAAAACTCATAATCATTCATTCAATATCGTTTATAATTTAATCAAAATACGTTTATAACGTTGCAATCAATCAAGTTAATATATCTGACATAATAATTAAATTAAATCTATATACTGAACAACAACCGAACATTCTAGAATAATATATATGATAATTTATTATATATGGATGGTTTATTCTTATCATCTGGTCACCAGATGTACAATTATTATAAAGTTCATTCATTCATTACCACGCCAGAAATTGCACGAAGTGCAATTTCATCACCCACCAGGAGTTGAAGCGTGCATCATGTATTTTCACTAGTATATAGATCCCATACATGATGTCTACCCGTTTTATTATAGTGGACGGTACCACTATGTAGCCCGTTAGCAAAGTGAAGAAGGAAGAAGTACAATAATGGTGATGTATTAGTTCCGTTTCCGGCAGAATAGTGTTAAGGAAGAAATAAAAAATAATGTCATATAAAGAAAAATGTACCTGCGTCCTTAAGTGGTATTTAGTGAGACAACAAAAAAAATAACCCTTATATCTTGTTAAGTATTGAGAGTTTATGTTAAGTTTGCATGTAGAGTCTCTTCCTTGTTTGTTGTTCGGTGTGCCAAAATATTGTATGTCCCGTAGATCTTATATGTTCTGTGCCAATGGTATTTGGGTTCGTCCGATTTATTGCGTTATTATTATAGCCAGTTTATCTTCTCATTGCCTGTTATACAGCTAATATTTTCGTAATTGTTATCGTTATCGTCGCCGATATCGTGTGTCCAGAAAGGAAGGTCGTGGGTTATTAGAGGAAGTTAGGTTATGTTGTTGTTGTTCAGGTTATTATCATTATCAAATACACTTATTCCATTTATTGCAAGAACGTAAAGGTGAAGAACGGTTGCGATATTAATTTAGGCCATATTTTAGCATGTATTGTAAATGTTCCTTTAGGTGTTTCTTGTTTTTGCTAAGTGCCATGAAATCTGCAAACGAGAGGTTAATCAGGTCCATATCTTTCAGACATTTCGCCAACCAATAGTATTTAGGGTTTTTCCTCCTACCGTCAGGGCACCATTTCAAGGACGAGAATATCATATTTTCCTGCGAGTGTCTTAAGCTATGGCCTAGTAATTCTAGTCTCCTCATGGGTATGAGACGATTGATTGGTAGGATGTCGCATCTATTCCAGAGCGTTGTATTTGATGTGTTGTATGGGCAATACGTTTTGGTGATTCTTCTAAGGCATTTGTTTATAAAAGTCTGAATTGTGCTGATGTTACTTTTTGAGCCTTGCCAAGTCTCCAGGCCGTAGGTAAAAATGGGTACAATTAGGGATTTGAAGAGTCTTATTTTTAAATTAGTTGATATTTGGTTGGATGACCATAATTTCGACAGTTGATGATAGCGGAGTCTCGCATTATTCGTTCTCGATTTCGTGTCTAAAAAGGTGAGGCCTAATGACGTTATCCTGATTCCTAGGTATTTAAAATCTGACACTAATTCTATCGTATTACCCTCAAAGTTAAAGGGGTTTAAGTGACTCGCATCAGTATTTGAGGTGATTAGTTTGGTTTTTGTGTAGTTTACTCTTAGACCATATCCATCACAGTGGTTGACAAATAATGATAAAATATTTCTTAATTTGTATTCTGAGTTGGCTAGAATACATACGTCGTCAGCATAACATAGAAAGTTTAAAGAGTTGTGCATATCATTGAGGTGTTGTTGCTCACTGTAATATGTGTTGAGTGCATATTCCTGTTTAAAGGATTTATTTAGGATATCATTCATTATTACATTAAAAATAATCGGTCAAAGGATGCATCCTTGTTTGAGGCCTCTATTTGCTTTAAAAGGTTGCGACTTCATATTTAAATGCTGAGGAACTACGCTATGATTGTCGTAAATTATCTTAATTAGCGCTATCAGATGTTTATCTATTCCAATGTTTTCCAGCAAGGGCTATATCTTATTCTGAATTATGGAGTCAAAGGCTTGACTTAAATCAATCATCAGGGCAAAGATGGGGGATTTATGCATTCTGGCCTTTTCCAGAATGACCTTAAGTGCCATGGTCAACTCCGTAGTATTTCTGCCCTTCCTGTATGATGTAATAGCATTGGAAAGGAAGTTAATGATTGGTTTAATCCTGACTGATATGATGTATGTGAACATTTTTAGTGTGACTAGAATTAGTGCAATACCTCTGTAATCTTTAAGGCAGTTTGGGGACTTATTTTTAGGGAAGTTTAGTATAATTGATGTCATCCATTCGTCAGGAAACTTGCCCGTATTCCAAATCTCCCTAAAGAGGGGAAGTAGTAAGCTGGCACTTAGGTCTACCTCTATCTTCCAGAGTTCTGCAAAAATTCCATCAGCTCCAGCAGCTTTATGCATTTTTAGACGTTTGATGGCACCGACTATATCAGACTTGTTCAAATTCTGATTGGGTGATTGGAAGGGGTAGTCACATCTAGGTCTAGGCCATCTCGTTTTGTAGAGGTTCATGTAGTGGTCTATCCATAAGTCTAATTGTTCCTTAGGGTCAGTTATAATCTTGTTGTTTAATTGTAGTCTTGGTAAAGGATTGGTTTTAAAGGTGGTTAGTAGTTTTAGAGATTGGAAGGCCTTATAAATATTATTATTATCAAAATTGAATTGGATAGAATTCGATAAGTTAGCAATGAACAGTCTTTTGTCAGCTCTTATGCGGTGGGTAATGAACCTCCTGTGATGTCTTGCGAATTGATGGTGGGATATATTTGTTGTAAGATTCTTAATTATTTGTATTGTTGAAGGGGTGAGCCACTCTCTGCGCTTGGTGCGTGGTCTTAAGCATGATGTTATACTACCTAATACATTCTGCTTAATGTCCTTCCAGGTGAGGTTTGGGTTTATCATGCCATTTGCTGAGTTTCTCCATGATGTTAATTTAGAGACGAACTCTTCTTTCACCTCTAAGTCATTTAGTTGTGCCAAGTCTTTTCTAGCTATGTATTTTACAGTGGTGAGACTGTTCTGTCTAGTGTGGTTTGGGAAGATACTGTTGTTAATTATGAGTTCACAGCCCAGTGGATAATGATCAGTAAAAAGTGTAAGATTAAGTTTACTGATTACCCTGATGTCTTTCACCCATTTGAAAATCTTAGTGGAAATTATAAAGAAATCTATCTGTGAGGTAGTGCCAAAGGAAGGGCTCTTGTAAGTCATGATGTGATGAGTTGGGTGATTGAAGAAAGTATTACCAATTTTCAAGTTGAAAAACTCACAGATTTCTATTAACCTTTTACCGTTGGGGTTCGTGCTTTGTATTAATGTGGCGTTTCCAAGGCAGGAAGAGTTCTTAGATTTACCTACCGAAGCATTGAAGTCACCTGCTAGAATGATGCCATCCCGATGAGGTAGTTCCTTTAAGACATTCTCCAATTCCATATAGAAAACGCTATCATTGTGAGGCGCGTATATATTAAGAAAATGGACTTTTTTGTATCCTAAGTTTAGGGTGAGGCAGCATATTCGGCGGAAATTGGGTTGAAGCTTACGAGTCTTATTAGTTTATTATGTATCATAAACGCCACCCCAGCCCATACGTGTTCTGCATTTGAGCTGCAATATAAGGTGTAATCTAATAGGTTTCTTACCTCAGTTACTTTAAGGTGGGTCTCCTGCAAAAAGAGGATATCGTAATGTTGGTCTTTCATAATTTGTCTTAGTATAGTTAGTTTCTCATTCAGGGATCTTATATTTAAAGAGATCATCTTAATATTGTGGTCCTTCATTGAAAACTTTATTAAAAATTTAATTATGATTACCGTGCCGATTCTATATCTTACAGAGAATCCGCCTTGTAAGAATAGTAATCACACACGATGATAAATAGAATATATATAAGAACTGTTTCAGCACTATTTCAAAAAAGATACAATTAATATATATATATAAATGGTATCTAAATTAAATGATTATAGTAATTAAATGATTATAGTAAATGATAATAGATTAAATGAGTATTTGAGTAAGTTTCATATAGTAGTTTAGGATAGGATAAAAGGTTTTTGTTCCTAATTTCATTATTATAAAGTTTTTTGTTTTTTGTTTTTTTTTTTTAAATTTCAAAATATTGGGAAAAATAATGGCACAAAAATAAAATATGTGCATGAAGTTTAGAAAAGACGTAAATAGATTTAAAAAATGTTTTATTCTAAAGCTAGATGAAACCGGGAATTGATAAGAAATTTGAATCGGTATATTTCCAAGCTAATGTTTTGGCGGAGATAAAAAATTCTTTGGAATTAGGTGAGAAAAACTAATATAATTTATATTTTTATTAATAGGCAATATTTTACCCATGGTGTATCTTTGACACAACATTTCAATCGATAACACAAATCTCAAATAATCCTTTAGCAACAAGATTTTATGGATCATCATTGATAAGTTGGTCAAATATTTTATTAATATCGACCTTATCCTTAAATATTGCTATATGGTTATTTATTACACTGGTAACTGGTGATCTCAGCGCGGCTCTATTTAATTTGAAAACACCTATTGAGCAAAATGTTTTGAACACTTCAAATTCAAAATAAGAGAGCTAGGGAAGCTACTGGTTTATTATCGATAGACTAATAGAGGTTGTTTAATAATATGCATAAAACAGAGGTTTATATGATTCTTTTAACGCTTGAATGGTAGGGTTTATAAATCTGATATTTAAAATATTACTTTTTAACCCCTTTAATTAATCATATAAATTAAAGTTTTAATGATAAAAATTTTTATAAAAGTTTTGTTAAGGATGGTCAGTTATAAGAAATTTTTTTAAAATAATAGTCTATTTACATAAAAAACATCACAATAATCATACATATCTAAAATATTGTATGGAATTATTATAGCTGCACCCCAGACCTTTTAAGTTATTACAAATTAAGGGGTGAATACTTTGACTAGGCCTTAACTCTTATCTATTTCTAAATTTCTGAAATATTTATTTAAATTTTTAAAATATATTTTATTACAATTTGATGATTGATTTTAACTATATAAAATAAAATATTAGATTAGAAAACTATATGATTGTCTTTAATGATTTTTATGGTTAAAAATATGCTGTATAATAATGGCACATTTGCTTGATTAAAAATTTTACTTACCAAAATGTTAAAACGAAAACTCTTATAAAAAATTTTACTTACCAAAATGTTAAAATTAAATTTTTGGATAATCAGAAATTTTGTAATAAAGTTTCATATATAAAAAAAACTATAATTTAAAATTTTTTTTGCAAAATTGGCATCATCATTCAGTTTGAGCAAATCAGGTCCTTGAACATTAAATTTTTGAATAATTTTGACTGTATTTTATAAATAAAGATTATAATTATAAATTAGTATAATATTAATTTATTTGAAAGATTATATAATATTAATAATTTAAGTATGTATTAGTGAATTCTTCATCTAAAAGGTAGTATTGGCTTTGTTTTGGTGGATATTGATCTTTTCGACTTCTGCCCATCTTTATTCGCGTTTTTGTTTTTGTCATTAATTTTTGCTGTCTTTTATCGTTTGAGATCCAAGCTCCTTTTTAGCTTCAAAATTATAATTGGAGCAAAATAGCCTAAGCCTATCTAATGCACAGGATGTTCAATCAGGGGGGTTCGGTCATTGAAAGTATAAAGCTTAGATAATTGCACTATTATGTTTAGGGCCAACCTATGACGTAGGTAGGGGAGACTGGGGTTAGGTAAACCCCGGGACTTGGCAAACCACTTTATCTCATTTTAAAATTAAATACACCAGAAGGTTAAAATTTTATCCTAACATAGTTTTCATTAGTATACATCTATGGACAAAATATATTTTGAAATAATTAATTACTAAAAATTTTATTTAAGAAATAAAATTTTGATGAAATTTTTAAAAGATTTTTACATAATTTTAATTTTTATAAAATATATAATCATTTATATGTAAATTAAATTTTATTACAAAGTTTAAACACTCTTCTATAATTTGGGTAAGTTTTATGAGTATTTATCAAATCTAGATATTATTTCAATCATGATTTGTCAATTTAGAGCTAGCGGAGTTCGCTAAACCATACACGTCAATTATGGCAATTAATAATGAAAAAAATTTCAAAATCTTGAAAAGGCAATTTCATTATTGTTTGTGATTGGTATTTAGATTTATGCTAAGAAATTTTGATCTCTCCTTAAAATTCATATTTATTTATGTCCAAAATGTTTATTAAATTAGCCAAAATTAAGTTTCAATTTTTATATATAATTAGCTTCAATTTATAAGTATTATGATATTTTGAACAATAAAATTATTCTATACATATCATTATTAATAAATAAAAATGCATTTCAATTTAATATGGCCTAAAAAAACCAATGGTTTAGGAAGCCCCTTGAAGTGGTTTGCCTCACCCGGCTATTGGGGCTTTTTGAACAAAATTTTCACTTTTACAAAAAATAAAATTTAAAAAAAATGATTATATTCTTAATATTTTTTATAAGGCACCTTTATAGAGTATAGTTTTAGGTATCCAATCATAAATTATCTATAAAACAACAAGAGCTATAGCCAATTTTGTAAAAATTGGTTCACCCCAGTCTCCCCTAGTATCCTTCGTTGGGATCCTCGGTTCTAGCAGAGATCCGGTGCCCCAGCTTTTTAAAAAGGCCAGGGCATACGAGCCGAACAATGTTAAAGTCGTGGCGATTAATGGTAGGAATGAATGGTTGGCAGGTAGCGATGACAAATATTTAGCGAGTTTATTCGCCTCGGCGTCCAATAGAGCATCCCTATTTATATGATTTTGTTAATGTCTGTAAAAATATAGGAAATATTTAATTTCCAATTTTGAATATTTTATTGTTTTAATTAATATCAAAAACTTATCAATTTTTAATATAGAAATATGGTAGTTTCAAAAGTTTTTGAGAAAAATTATTACAATATTGATCCTATTAATCTCATACATACGAATATTAACCCCACAGCACACATCCATCTTTCCATATAAATAATATTACCCCATTGGTCATTAACCCACTTAGATTCTGCAATTGGCGGGTTAATCAGTAAACCCGCCCCCTCTTTGTTTTGAAATTTTTTAAAATCTCCCGCCCTTTTATAATATTTTTTAAAAAATTTACCCGCCCGCCCATTTACATATAAAATTTGTTTAACCAGCCCCCCCCCCCCCCGCCCAATGTTTAAAATTATTTAATGGCTGGTTTGGTTCTTTATTTATTTATTCTAATGTATTTTTAATTAAACATATATAATATGCAATATTATAAACTATCATTTTTAATAAATTGAATTCTATTCTGCTTATTTCGCCCAAAAAAAGATTAAAAATTAACTCACCCACGCCTGCCCATTTCTTTAAAAAATTTTTAAACTGCGCTACCCACCCAATGTTTAAAATATTTTAGAAACCCGACCATGCCCGTCCTTGTAGACCTCTAAGCTCACTTAAACACTATGCTCTCTCCGATACTATAATATATCAAAAATAATTATCATAAAAAAATTGAAAGTTATTTTTCTCAAACTCTCGGTGATTACTAAAATAGTATGTAAGTAAAATAAAATGGAAAATTGTAATTTTATTTTATTATATATAATATTTTATTTCTTTTAAAAGCATTGGCTTCCCTATTTTGGATATGCCTTATGTGGGGTCTGGAGAAAAAAACCATAAAACTGTGCATGCTCTTATCCTCGATTCTACAAATCATTCAGATAAGTAGTAAGCAAAAATAATAGATGAAAAAATTTCTCATTCGATATAGTATAAGTGTGCCGAGCATTTTATTTTTAATTGAGTTACTTCTAAGTTTCTATAGCCATACATTATATACTATAAACCCTATATATTTTATTGAAAATGGATTAAACTCATTTCAAATTTTAACATAAATTTTTAGAAATATGATATAATACCATGCTTCAATTTTCTAAAAACGACGATATATTATCATTTTATATACATTTCTTTTAAAATTATGAAATAAAAGCTTTGGTTTTTACATATCTGTTCACTTCGTACACTAAAGACTATTTCGTCATAAACATCCCATCTTTCTCCTTATTCCTGCGAATGTTCGTCATTTTGTTAAACTTTCATTTCTATTACGCCATAAATTCTGGTAAAATCAAAAGGACTTCTGGAATGAATGGTGAAATATAATTTTTCCTTCTGGTAATTGCGTTAAGAACCCATCGCTCACATACAAATTTTACAATATTACTACAAATAACTTAACTATATACTGTTATCAACAAGATATTACATTCTTATATAGAAAATTATAGTATAAAGGAATAAATTCAATATGTCTTATTATTATAATAGCAAGAAACACACATTTATTACATTATAATTTTTAAGCTATATACTTTAATTTTTTTAAGAAACTACATCTATTGATGTATTTTATATATTTTTCATTTTTTTTACATCAGCAGAATCAATAACATACACATTTATTACATTGCATTTCTTTTAAGGAAACTATATCAACTAATTTATTCAATATGTTTTTCATCTTCCCTTTTTTATAATTTTTTTAAGGAAACTATATCTAAAAAATAATTTACATGTTTTTAACAGATAGCTATAAACAATCGGAACAATATGTCTAAAATAAAAGGAACGTTTATTAACAAGCTGTTTAATTTGAAACCGTTCGTTCATTAATAATTTCTAATAAATGACTGAATTATGAGATATTAAGAATAATTCTTGCAATATTTATAATTTTTTAAAATTAAATTTTACTTTTAAATGCATGAGAAACAAAATCTGACGGCCTTTAATATACTCTTATTTCGACAGCCGAGGGCTGCTCCCCCACTCGCACTAATATTTTTTGTAACTTTTAAAAAAAATTGTCAAAAGCCTCTTGATGGTAAATTTAAAAATTGCTGCCATGTAATGTCATCAAGGTTCTTTATACAAACTTCTAAATATCTGGTAACTATCCCCCTCTTGTAGAAATTTCTTGTGGATCGATCATTTTGATGATGAGTTAAACTATTATGGAAGTTTTCAAATGTTGTGGTATGATCATATCGAGCGACAAATCATAAACTTTTTAACAGTTTTAGGCATCAATGGTGTCTTAGGAAGATTATAATTTTTACTCTCTAATTGCAGATTTTATCCATAAGACCACTTAAAAATTTATTCTTTAAATTGATAAGGGGGATGGGTGATTTTGGAACTTAGATATATTGTGTGGAATTATAGTTACATTTGGTTGATTATCATTTGCTAATGTAATTTATGACTTATTAAAATTGGAATTATTTAAGGATTTTAATATCATTTCATCTTTCTTTTCCCTGGCATGTCTTTTGAAATAAGGCACTCTTTTTAGCAGTATGAGTAATTTTGATTCAACCTTAATACTTCATATTCTATCCTTAAAATCTTTTTTATGAGTTTACCATAAAAATATTTGTGATGTCCTTAATTGCGTGAAGCCATAGACTAGTAGGGAAATATTCTGGATATCCACAACAATTGCCTTCCGGATTAGAGTATCCCCTTCATAGCTTACTTTGACTTGAACTTTTCCTATTATTTTAATCGAGTTACCATCATAACCTGTCAAATATATGTTTTCTTTGTTACTCAATTCCAGTTTTTAATGCTATGTATCGTGGTAAGAAAGTGAATCTAGTGATAAGAAAGAGAATCTAGTGATAAGAAAGAGAATCTAGTGATAAGAAAGAGAATCTAATGATAAGAAAGAGAATCTAGTACCTGTGTCGACCTGCATAATTAAGAGTTTGTTGTTTGTTTTCACTGCAACTTTATAGGCGTTGAGATAGACGCCTTTATGCTTATTGGATAAGTCTAAACTCAATAAGTTGTATTCCTTCTCAAAAGCTTTTACATTGTCATCATCCGTAATTTCTTTCAATATTCAGGGTATTTATTTTGTTAGAATATGGAGCTTGGCTTCTATTACTATAAGATTGACGTGTGTTTCTATCGTAGCTTCTGTAATTCTTATTTTTTTTCCTCATTAGAATCTAGTTCGACTGATCCAAAGTCCATGTTCATGAATTCATCTAACGTCATGCTTTCTCTCAAGCTTAATGTATATCTTATTTCTGACGAAGTAGCGATTCTTAGTTTCTGGATAATCCTTTGATGTCCTAATGCATCTTAACTCAAATTACTAACGGGGACCACTCATTTAGAATAGATTTCCTTCTTTTTTTGAACCGTCGCATAAAAATCCGCTCTCTTAGCACTTATCGTATTAGTGGGGTGTAATAACCTGAATTTCCTGATTAGACTAAGGGGGCCAGCAAATTCGGCTTCCGAACAAACTGCTTCGATATTGACGTATTCGTCATCTATCAAGTTAACGCAGCAGACTTTTCGACGTCGGAAATGTTACTAATTTTGAAAATATTTCCTACTCTTCCATTATCTGCACTTAAATTGCTACTATATTTAGGGAATTCTAGTTTGAAGAGATCGGGAATTATATTTACGCTTTCTTTTATTGTCATCATGTTTGTTTAAGTATGTGTGAATATGATAATCTGAAATAGAATCATGCTCTTGTTCTTTGTCTTTTATGATTTAGATTTTGCTTTACTCTTTTATATTTTATTTTATATTTATGATGTTGATTCCACTAATAAAATTTCTTTCTTTATTTGAAGGAATATATAATGACTATTGAAGGTCGCATGATACCTAATTGGCCTCCATGTTAATTTTGTGTAGTTTTTAGTTATATTTTAAGTTTTTTGTTTGATTCATTTTGATAAGTTATAAAATTACATTAAAAATTATCAAACCACATATTTAAAATACACTTTCTTTCAATATAAAAGTTTATATAAAAAAATTATATCTCATTATGTTTGGTTATAATTTAAACGCATTAGTTAAATTGATTTAAAACAAAAATAGTTAATGTAAATTATTTAAACGATAGAAAGTATTAATAAAAGTTCATTTAAGGTAAAAAATTACAGTAAAATAGTAAATAACAATTTGATGTTGGTTACGCTAATATATTTAGGTCCGTGAAGTTGGCCCCACACTTTTTGATTTTCAATGGTTTATCAGTTGGTATGATTTGTACCCAATTTGTACCGTTTTCAGTTCGATTTGTACCATCACCGTTTTAGAACAAAATGGGGGGGGGGGCAACTTCACGACAGCCCCCAACTTTTGAACTTAAAAATAAAAAGTGCATAGGTCGATAGAGAATGATTTTTACCGTTTTCAGTTCGATTTGTACCATCACCGTTTTCCAGCTATTGACAGTTAAAAATATGGCGCAAAAATAAAAAACAAAAATTTTTTTTTTAAATTTCTTAACGTACAACGATAGAGAATTTATTTTCTCTTCCTAATGATTCAAATTAAGCTTTATCTTCATTATTTATATCGGATATCAAATTTTATACCTTATATTATAGCGTGAAGTTAGCCCCCCGATATTCAAAATTTGAGATTTTCAAATTTTTATAGCGGGATTGATTTGTACCCGATTTGTACCATTTCAAACTCGATTTGTACTATTATCGTTTTCCAGCTATTGACCATTAAAAATATGGCACCAAAAATAAAAAATACTTTTTAAAAAATTTCTTAATGTACAACGATAGATAATTTTTTTCTCTTCCTAATGATGCCTTAAATTAAGCTTTATCTTTATTATTTATTTCGGAAATCAAATTTTAAGCCTTATATTATAGCGTGAAGTTAACCCCCCCCCCTTCTCCCGATATTCAAAATTTGAGATTTTTCAAATTTTTAAAACGGGATTGATTTGTACCCGATTTGTACCGTTTCAAACTCGATTTGTATTATTATCGTTTTCCATATTGACCGTTAAAAATATGGCGCCAAAAATAAAAAACATTCAAAAATTTTTTTAACGTATAGCGATAGAGATTTTTTTATAAAAACTGAACCGGCTTTAACCTTTTTTTATAATTTTACTCCTTCAAAAATAATTATATCGGTTTGGTTACGGTTCAGATATATAATGGTTTATAATGGTTTAACGGTTCTTTATGGTTTACTCCGGGTCACTTATAATTTTATCGTATTAATCTCCACGTTATCAAAAATTCTCTATCGTTGTGAGTTAAAAAATTAAAAAAAAAAATTTGAGTGTTTTTTATTTTTGGCGCCATATTTTTAACGGTCAAGCTGGAAAACGGTATAGTACAAATCGAGTTTGAAACGGTACAAATAATAGGGTACTATAAATCAATCTCGTTTTGAAGATTTGAAAAATCTCAAATTTTGAATTAAGGGGGGGGGGGCTAACTTCACGCTATAATATAAGGTTTAAAATTTGATTTCCGAAATAAATAATGAAGATAAAGCTTAATTTGAGGCATCATTCGGAAGAGAAGAAAATTCTCTATCGTTGTACGTTTAAAAAAATTTTTTGAGTGTTTTTTATTTTTGGCGCCATATTTTTAACGGTCAATAGCTGGAAAACGGTAATAGTACAAATCGAGTTTGATACAAATCGAGTTTGATACAAATCGAGTTTGATACAAATCGGGTACAAATCAATCCCGTTTTAAAAATTTGAAAAATCTCAAATTTTGAATATCGGGGGGGGGGGGGGGGCTAACTTCACGCTATAATATAAAGTTTAAAATTTGCTTTCCGAAATAAATAATCAAGATAAAGCTTAATTTGAGGCATCATTAGGAAGAGGAAAAAATTCTATATCGTTGTACGTTAAAAAATTTAAAAAAAAAATTTTTTGAGTGTTTTTTATTTTTGGCGCCATATTTTTAAAGGTCAATAACTGGAAAACGGTGATGGTACAAATCTAACTGAAAACGGTACAAATCATTCTTTATCGACCTATGTACTTTTTATTTTTAAGTTCAAAAGTTGGGGGGGGGGGGCTGTCGTGAAGTTGCCCCCACCCCCCTTATTTTGTTCTTTGTATATCTCAAAAACGGTGATGGTACAAATCGAACTGAAAACGGTACAAATCGGTACATATTGGGTATAAATCAGTCCAACTGATAAACCATTGTAAATCAAAAAGTGTGGGGCCAACTTCACGGACCTAATATATATCCTTAGGGAATAACATAATAAAATTAAAACAAATAAAAAGTAAGTTGTATAACAAATAAGAAATACGTTGTTATAAAACAGGTTCTTATCAATACCATTTTTAAAAAATGGATTAGCATTCTATTTTTAAAAATTAGCAACCAATTTTTAAGTAATATACATATATATTTTATTAAACCGCTTATTTACAAAAATTTAGAATAATATTTTAAATAAATACTATTTTCCTGACTTATCATTTTATTAATGTAATTTCTTTCCTTTTGCTTTATACAAAAACAAAATAGTAAAAAATCAAAATATTTATTGTGAAAAAAAAGGTACACATATTTATGATTATTCTCTTATATAATCAAATCATACACATCGAAATGAAACAAAATTTAATATATAAAATACATTTTGATTATTATTTTCCAATTAATTTAATTTTCATTTTTAAATTAGTGACATTTTGATTTAAAAATGCAAAATCAAAGGACAAACTTGGTAAAAATTCTCTCTAATTGCGATTTTTTAAGAATTTTTTATTGGTTATGAGGGTAAAGTAATTGAGTTCGATTTCACATTTGTGTTAGATATTGTTTTTATTAGCGATACATGTATACTAAATAATTATAGAAGATATAAATTATATTTAAATCTAGTCGAAGTCATGACAAAAGGGGACGCAGGCCCTCCAAAAATAATGTCTGAACAAAGCCTCCCCTATTATCATATTTAGAGTAAAAACATCCAGAGACATTTTAAAAAATAAATTAACATCCTCTTTTGTAAAAATATGACCATGCTTCCTGAAAGTAACTAAAATCATCTTGGCGGTTCAGGCACAACATTTCTTTATAATATTTTTTTACATCATATATCTGAGACGAGATTAATATGAGGAAAAAAGTTTGATGAGTGAAAAGAGGTTTTAACAAGGGTTTGAAATTAATGAAGACGCCCAAGGAGTGTGTTAAAATGGGTTCACCAGCTCTTTTCCTTCTATGAGAGGATTCAATTAGGTTATTTACTGAGATGACTTAAAATGGATAGGAAGTTGGAGGGGGGGGCTGGTAAAGAACAGTAATTTATTGCTTAAAAAGGGGGAGGGGACTACAATTATTATATATATTAACAAAAGTAATGAAATGTATAAAATCGAATTTTATTACCAATATGATTCTATAATTATATTATATATAAATATGAATTAAAAAATCTCCCATATATCTTTTTCATTATTTTTGGGCTCTACATTTTTTAGAAATATTTTATTTGTTCCGCGATTATTTCTTTTTCATATTTTGATATATGGATCTGGAATCAACTCCGATATCGAAGGTTCATCAATATTTATGAACATTAAATTTATTAACTTTTAAACTGACACGAATATCTACCATGATCAAATTCACAAGATGAAAGCCCTTTCACACTTGACAGTACTGCTGGATAAAGTATTCACGCAGTTAAGGAATTTAAAAATTATCATTAAAAATATTTTCATTGATATATTGTCGAAGCCCAGCAGTAATCGTTTTATATTTATTTAATTAAAATATTTTGCAGATTCTTTCTATTTACTTCCGGCCAAATCGCGTATTTTGGTTCTTATGTCAATTTTTCAAAGCTATCTTTTAGACGGGACTGCATGATACTTTCTGGAGAAATTATAAATTGATCTATTTTTAATCTTACTAGTTTTATATTTTTTGAATGTATTTTCAAATAAATGTCTAATTTCTGAATCGAGCAATATCTTTAAATATTCACCTATATGATATTTAAATATTATTTTTAACATCTTCTTAATGATAATTTTTTATAAATATCATTCAATCAATAAAAAAAATGGTTCATTGGCAAAAAGACACCGAGGAACTTGATAAAAAAATATCCTAATTTTTTTTTTCAAAGTAGATTGATTTCCTAATAACTTACAACCTACCTAATTGAAAATTTCAAATTAATCATTTTAAAAAATTTATTAACATTATGCTATTTTATGCCTATAGTGTTATTAAAAAGCCTTAATCATAACCGTTAAAAAATTTGTCAAGCCTTGAGGTAAGAGTATATTTTTTTTAACACCGAGATATCCTAAGTTAACAAAGACTAAGATTATTGTTTTCACTTAGAAATTTGATTTAACCATAATAGAATCGTCTCAAAACGTGCTATAAATGTGGCTATTTATCACCATTACTTGCTGATAGCGGACCTCACTTTCTGCTGAATCTCCTTCTGAGATATAATTATATGGTTATTATATTTTAGAAAAGAAATATTAAAATAGCTATGATAAATATAAAGTAAATTGTGGAAATAATTCCTCATAGGTAAGGACAAAATTATCCCTCATTTTAAATTTATTTAAAAAAATATCATTTGGATATATATATTCGTGCTGCGTTCGCCCATACAAATTTAAATCCGGTTTGGTGGGATTAAAGGAGAGGAGATAAGATATCAACCAAATAAACCACATTATTATACTCCTGAGGAGAAGCGGACGGGCACCAAATTTGATGGGTAAAATATGCGTAGGAGTAAAATAATATTAAGTATTTGTATTTATGATTATTTAAAAAATTCATATAAAATAAAATTTTGCTTGATTCACTAAAAATTTATATTGGCACCCGATAATTTTTTGGAAAAGCTCGAATGGCTTGGAATTTAGGATTATTCATGTTCACTCCATAATCCATCTTGTTACGAAAATTTTTACGGTCCGCGCCCGCTTCTAATTTGGATAAAAATCAATACATATTATATTTAAAAAAATTATATTGTTGAAGTTGATATATGAAAAGATAAATTATCAAATTAATAGATTTGGTAGCAAGGCTAAATAAAATATTCCCTAAGCTTTGAGATTTCGCTAATAAATTTCAAAACCGTTGTGCCATCTATGACTAAAATCTTTAGGCTTGCATTATATTTTTCTGGAATATCGAGATAGCCATTTTTAAAATAGACTCAAATCGAGCCGTTCAACATTATTATACACTATCATATACAAAAAAAAAATGCATACTCATATAATAAAAAGTTAAATATTAAACTATAAAGGCAATTTTGTAATAAGTTAAAGTCATCACTTAGTTAATATGTTAGTGTGAATATGAAATATACAAAATTAAATAAGTGGAATTATAATGTTAAATTCAATAAATGGAAATGATAGATGGCTACATTTACTCAAAAAGAATATCAAAATTAGAGAAAAACATCTGTTCATTAATAATTAATCAATTTTTTGATTTTTATATTTATTTATCAGAAATTTTATCAATTTCGAAAAACTATATTGACGTATAATTATTTTAAGATATTTGATAATGATTGACGAGGAAACCCTATTCATAATATTCGAATAAATGTTAAAAATAAAAAATAATTTGAAAATTTTATTTATTAATTATAGTAACATATCAGTATCTAATCTAGTTAAGAATGAATCAAATTATACCCAATTAAGCGAAAATGATTATATAAATAATGCCTACATAAATCAGAACCCCAGAAATTTGGAACAATTAAGATATGAAAGGAAACCAACAGGTTATGGATTAGAAAACTATTCAGTTGATTATTGGAATAGGTAATATTATATAAATATAACTTATGTATTTTAATAAAGACTGCAATATCTTATAATGTTTTATATATTAATCATTTAAATTTTTAAGGCTCTTTTTTGAAGCAACTAATAAACATACATCAGCATGGGTTGAACATAATAAGGGAAATATTATTGTTTCTGCTTCTACAAAAGAGTGGGGGATTGCCAAATTACTATATAGGTATGTAATATTCTTAATGAGAATATTTCATATTTTTTAAGAACTTATTATATTTTAAATTATTTGATTATATAAGTTAAGGTAAACTTCATAAATTTGTGGAAAACATTTTTTTTCCTTGCTTTTTGAATCTTTTTTCTTACATAATCAATATTTAAAAAAATTATTTGAGGGTATTTCAATAAAATATAATTAGATATAGTTTATTCTAAAAAGAATATATAAGTTTCATAAGAATCATCCCATGTCAAAAGAGCAAGAATAGGATTTACCAACCTCCTTAAATTTGTATTAAGATATGTATTATTTTTATTTAGCTTGTTAGGTTTAATGTCCTAGAATAATGGCTAAAGGTGCAAATCTGCCATTTTTATCTATTTAGGCAATAAAAACTAAATCAAATTGAATATGATATTTATAATAAAAGCAGTGATTTATAATTAGGAAGAAAAACAAAAGTGAATTTACATAATCATCTTATGCCATTTGAAAATTTAATATTTCAAAAGCACAATAACCTTCATTTTTTTATTGTCTATCATTTCCAAATGTTTCATATAATTTACATGATTCCCAGAGGACAACCTTGTCCTAACGTAATAAACAGTCATCCATTTTTTAAATATAGAGTATATATATTAACTCTACATCTTATCTCTAACCTTTTCTTAACCTTGTCCAAATGTGATCTTCTTACCAGAGTTGGGGAAGTTCTTGAGAAAAAGATTCTTTATAAAAAAATGAATCTTAGATACAGATACTTGTATCTTTTGCTATCTTAAATACAAAATACTTTAAAATTAAATAGTTTATAAAATATAGTTTTTATTATCTATTTGTGAAGAACTTAACATACATATATAATAAGAAAATATTTACAATTAATAAAATATTTAATGATGAGTTAATTATAATAATCTGGCATCTTAATATTAGTATTAGCTTATTCTTAGCATAGATAGGGAATGGAGACAATGGGAGTTGAAATTTTTTCAAATAATTTATCATTAGACCTTTGCCATTTTGGCGTACTTAACATTGTGCCAAAACTAAATAGGGTCATTCCATGTCATATCGACCAAAATATGAGATTTTCGGATGACTTTTTTTAAAATGAACGAAACTTGGCATGATAGTTATCTATTTTATATATTTTAGTAAATTCAAAATTTTAGATGCTAGGTCAACCAGATCCAAAGATTTACGCCTTCAAAGTCAAAAATTGTGCAATGTGTGATTTCATTAAATCTTGTTTTTATAAAATATACTTAAGATAGAGTTACAAATTATATATCATTTTATAGCCCTTAAAATTTTACATTGGAAAATATTGAAAAAAAATTAACATTATTAGGAAAAATTTTTTTTGGGTGTATTATTTAAAAATGTTTATTACCTTTATATTAAACTATTTAATAAAAAATCTCGATAGCCAATTTTGTTTTAATTTTATTTGAATCTTAAGTTATTCAAAAATCATTAATATAATATTTTTAATAAAAATATTAATTGTATTTAGATTAAAATTTAAAAATCAATTGAGTATAACCAATATGATGTCCTGGGGCAATTTGTAAGCAGGCAGCCCATACATATATGATGATTATTAAGACATTATATTTTTAAATAAACATATTTTAAAATTTTATATTCAAACTATTCTAAAAACATATCTCTTATTAGTAGAATATTTTTTACAATCAAAAAATAAATTAAAATTTTCTTAATTTAAATAAATTGGGCCGGGAAGAATAGATTTCAATCCTATTCCAGCTGAAGTCATAAAAGAAATAGATAAAGCATCATGTAGGATTAAATAAAATATGTAAACATAAAAATGGGCACTTATTTTTACACAAATTTAAATTTAAAATTATTTTTAATTTTGAATGCATTGAAAAAATAATATCTTATAAATAAAAAAATTTTAAGAATTTCCAGATAATATTGGATCAAAAATCTTTCTTCTTTTAGAAATTTGAAGATTTTTTTCAAACTCTGATTTATATGTGTAATTAATAATTAATATAATATATCATAAGCAATATTTTATATATTAAAAATGAATGATCTCATTTATATTAATATTGAGTTATTTTAGAATCATAAAATCACATTGAGTTATTTATTTAGAATCAACCAATCACATTCATTTATCAACTTTAAATAAAATAAATAAATGATTTAAGTATTATCTATTTCTGGAGCCTTTAAAAATAAATAGAGGAATGTATAAAACTACCTATATATGCTTTAGTGGAGAATTCAACCTATTTCCCTAGCAACAAGGGAAACCATCTTTTTTCGATAATTACCATTATATTTATTTTATAAAATAGATAAAAAGTTTAATAATTTTATGATCTAATAAAAATTATTAGATATCGAATTTTGTGTTATTTTAATTAAAATTGACCTGATATTGTTAAGAATTTAATATATAGGAAAAAATATAGTGTTGTTAAAGAGCCCGATTTGGGTCGATTTTTCAAAACGGGCCGACTAAGATTTTAGCTAAATTAATATTATGAAAGCATCGAGATTTGGCAATATGTCCCAACATTTCTGCCAGCTATGTGCAAAATCTTTAGGCTTACATAATGTTATTTTTGTTATAATCTTTATCGGGCCGTTTTTTAAAATACATCCAAATCGGGCCTTTTAACAACACTAAAAAAATAGAAAGAAATATGATTAAATAAACCGAATATTAAAGCCTGTAAACGGGAGTCTGGGACTCCATGCATAGATGTGGACCCCTCTAAGGAAAATTCCTAACTATGCCACTAAATCTACATGGCCAGGAGGTAAAAAATTTAAGATTGTATACAATTGCGCAAAGTAATATTTTTTCGGACTGGGCAATTTGTGCAAAATAATACTCGGACATTTAAAATCTTGACTCATCATATTTTTGTCGATGTTGCGTTTCATTTAAGAAAAAATCAATCATTACAATAGAAAAAAATTGGAGGTCATTATTTTAATTGATATTAAAAAAATCATTTTTGTTTTTTCTTCTAAACAAATCACTGATTTGTTTTAGCTATAAATATCAAATTGATTTGGATTTTAATTAATAATTTAATATCTGAAAGAGGTAAGAATCATGTTGAAATTGGTGGGATGAGAGATGTACAATTTGACATAAGACCCATAAATTAAATCAAGTTAATATAATTAAACAAAATTCATTTATATTTCAGCTACACAGATGTTTGTGCTACTATAAACATAGCAAGAATGTTAGCAGATAGATGTTTAAAAGCTGGAATCAATTTTGTAGACTCAAAAGTGTTCGCTTCTGATTTTCAATCTGAAAAGGTTTTAATTTATATATTTGTCTTTAATAGTTAATATAAAAATTAAGGTATAATTAAATAGATAATTAGGTTGAGTTATTTTTTAACCATATATTATAACATGTTAAATTTTATTTTTAGTTAAAAATTTTCTGCCAAACATTAGAAGATGAAGGATTGTGTTTAAAGGAGCCAGAGCATATTGTTCCTGAAAAATGTGGACTGAGAAAGCCAAAAAAGACCAATAAAATATAATATTTTTTACATATAAATTTAACATTATTTACTATCCCTCCTTATCCATGAAAACTGTTAATTTGTAATTTTTTACTAACCATCAACTGATTTATTATACTAAATAAAACCACAAGTTTTGTCTATCAAAAAGTTTGATTTTATATTATACAATAATGTGAAAAAAAGTTTATGTAATGTAGAAAAGATTATATTTGATTTGTTAATATATAGGTCTAGTTTTCAAAAGTCGACTTGTTGCCGGAAATGTCTTTGGCTGTTAGCTCTAAGCATTATACTCAAGGCCTTTTTATGGTAATTTTTGTAAGGAATCAAAAAATTTCTTTTGTCCCTTCTGATATCCCATTCTGTATTTATTAAATAACATGGAAATTGGTTTTAAAAAAAGTAACACCCTGTAAAATATAAATTAAATTATTAATGACCTCTGCAATATTAATAGTCAGGACGTAAAGAGAACACCAAATCAAGTTACAATGCTGTTTAAAAAATTAACATTAACTCGAGAAGTTAGGTGGGGGTCAATATCCAACCCCCATATCGCATTTAAAAAAATTTATATTCAACCATATATTAATTATGTATAAATATTTTGAGAATTTTATTTTATACAAAGATAGCAAAAAACTGAATTTTTTATTTCAGTTTCAAATAATTATTTAATATAATAAGGGTACCCATCGCCGGGGTGGCCTAGTGGGTTATGATGTAGGCTTGAAAACAGAAGGTTCCAGGTTCGATCCTAGTAAGGAACATAAAAATTTTCCGATTTTTCTTCGATGATTGATGTGTAAAGACATATGGTAAGATGTCTTTCGGAGCTTAGAGATGACACCCCGGTCACCGACAGGCTTGGACAGCCAGGTGCTAAGGAGACTTATCCAATAAACAAAAATGAAGGACACAAATGAAAATATGAATATGAAAGCTAGGGCGTTCCCTCCAAGCGACGCACAGGGTGTAGATCTCCATCTTGCGAAAAGTAAAATAAAGGTCAAAGCAAAGAAGACAAGGTTAACAAGCTTGAATATTGGGACACTTAAAGGTGAGACGAGAGAATTGGCATCAATGTTAAACAAGAGAAAAGTTGATATAGCGTGCACACAAGAGACGAAATGGAAAGGTCAGAAGACTTTAATGATTGGATATGGGTATAAATTGTACTATAATGGAATTGTTAGCAATAGGAACGGTGTCGGCATCATCCTCAGTAAAGATCTAACCTCCTCAGTAGTAGAAGTCAACAGGATCTCTGATAGACTAATCAAGATAAAACTCTGCATTGGTCAATCAATGCTACACATCCTTTCAGTATATGCTCCTCAAACGGGTTGCAAGGAAGAAGAAAAAGATGACTTTAGAGCTATCCTTGGTGAAGCTGTAATGGAAATCCCTAAGGATGACCTAGTCATAATAGGTGGTGATTTAAATGCGCATGTGGGAAAAGCAAGAAACAGCTACAAAAGGCCTCATGGTGGTTTTGGATATGGAAAAATAAATGATGAAGGAGAGCATGTACTGAAATTTGTGCAAGCCTTCGACCTTGCCTTAACCAATACCTACTATAAGAAAAAGAACAGTCATTTAATAACATATGAAAAGGGTGCAAGGAAAACCCAGATAGATTACATTATCTCTCACAGAAGATTAAAAGAAAGTCATCCCCGGAGAAGCACATCACAAATAAATCCACTCAAAACAAGATAAAACTTGAACCATGCATTAAATGGGGTAGATTAAAATCAATGACATATGCTTTTGTAATCAATGCAAACATTGAAACAATAGATTCCTCACAAGTCAGTGAAAAAATGTGCAGAACTTTCATCCAAATTAATAGACACTGCCAAATCGACACTAGGCTTGACAAGGGGAGGCAGTGGCGTAGCTACGGGGGTGGTTTTCGGGTTTGGACCCCTCCCAGAGCAATTTTTTTTAGATTATACGTTCAAAAGACTTAAAAGTGATTTTATATCAATTATATTACTATTGAAATTATTCTGGATAGTATTATTATAAAGTCATTGAGAATAATCTACTAAATTATAATAACATATTATTGATGCATTTAAAAAATATATATATTATATATTATCGAAGATAAGGTTATGATTTGTAAGATAAAACCGGCCGAAGGCCGGGCAAAATGGCCGAAGGCCCGTCAAAGGGGGTCTGGGGGCGAAGCCCCCAGCTTTTATATGTATGGACCCCCTCTAAGGAAAATTCCTAGCTACGCCACTGAGGGGAGGCAACAAATCATACAAAGAACTATGGTGGTGGAATGAAGAGGTACAACTATACAGGAGAAAAAAGCCCTACATAAAATATGGTACAAATCCAAAAACCTAGATGACAAGACAAATTACAAAAAATCCAAGAGAATAGCTACAAAAGTAGTGGCTAGGGCCAAAGCTATGGCATACGATGACATGTACGAAGATCTACATACCAAAGAAGGGCAAAATAAAATATACAGATTAGCCAAACAGCAAGAAAAGAATTCTAGAGATATAAACGGAGCTCCGAAAGTAATCAGGAATAAAGATGGGAAATTGATAATAAAAGAAAAAGAAATAATGAATAGATGGAAAGAATATTTTCATTTCAGGAGCTTCTCAACTTTAATCCCCACATACTACATCTAATGAACACTCTCCATGTCAAAACCTTTTACAACCAATAACAGCAAGAAATAATCACATTCCTCATAAATATGAAAAACAACAAAGCTAGTCAGGAATAAAGATGGGAAATTGATAATAAAAGAAAAAGAAATAATGATTAGATGGAAAGAATATTTTCATTTCAGGAGCTTCTCAACTTTAATCCCCACATACTACATCTAATGAACACTCTCCATGTCAAAACCTTGTACAACCAATAACAGCAAGAAATAATCACATTCCTCATAAATATGAAAAATGACAAAGCTAGGGGTCCAGATAATATTCCAATAGAAAGCCTTAAAGCACTAGGAGATGATGGAATACATCTCCTCACAAATCTGTATAATAAAATACTGGGAAATGAAGAATTCCTCAAAAATGGAGGCAGAGCTATCTAGTTCCTTTCTTCAAAAATAATGGGGATCCACGTCAAAACTACAGGGGCATAAAACTAATGTCACACTGTCTTAAACTCTACGAAAAAATAATAGAAAAAAGGTTAAGAGACATAATCGAAATAGGAGACTCAGTGTGGCTTTATGCCTGGAAGATCAACAACTGATGCTATCCATTGAGTGAAAATACAGGGAAAAGAACAAAAAGCTACACATGGTCTTTCTCGATCTAGAAAAGGCCTTCGATAGAATCCCAAGAAAACTTATCTGATGGGCGCTACAGCATAAAAAAATTCCCGAAAAATATATAAGAATAATATAGGATATGTATATGGGCCATACAACAATGATCCGTAGCACAACTGGTACTTCAACAGGCTTCACAATAGCCGAAGGAGTTCATTAAGGGTCGGCTCTCAGCCCACTTCTCTTAATAACAGTAATAGATGTATTAGCACAGTCTATACCAGGAACAGTCCCGTGGAATATGATATTTGCAGATGATATTGTGATACTTGCCGAATCCAAGGATGAAAAATATCCTAGAAAAGCACGGACTAAAAGTATATAGAGAAAAGACGGCGTATATGGTGATAGGAATAGAGAAAGAGATAAATTAATCAAGGATGGTGTGGAGATCTTTATCTGGAGTGCTCTTTGACAAAAGAATCCCACACAAATTGAAGGGAAAAATTTACAGTTCCATAGTACAATTAACTATTTTATATAGTTCGGAAACATGGCCAACCAGTGGCGTAGCTACGTGGGTGGTTTTCAGGTTTGGACCCCTTCCAGAGAAATTTTTTTTTTAGATTATACGTTCAAAAGACTTAGTGACTTTATATCAAATAAATACCATTAATATTTATATTTTTCTAGTTTTGATGTCTGTGGAAGGATATTATATTACTATTGAATTTATTCTGGATAGTATTATTATAAAGTCTTTGAGAATAATCTACTAAATTATAATAACATATTATTGATGCATTTAAAAAATATATTTATTATATATTATCGAAGATATGGTTATGATTTTTAGGATAAACCCGACCGAAGGCCGGGTAAAAGGACCGAAGGAGGTTTTTATATGTATGGACCCCCTCTAAGGAAAATTCCTAGCTACGCCACTGTGGCCAACCAAAGAATGAGACGAGAGAAGTCTACAAACTATGGAGATGAGAATTCTGAGGATGATTGCTATGGTAACAAGAAAGGATAAGGTGAGAATTACAAGAATACTAGGCAGTTTAAAGGTAATGCCCATTAAGACTAAGATAATGGTAAACACACTTAGGTGGTATGGGCATACAATGAGAAACCCTATGAACTACACAGGAAATAAGGTAGAGGGTTAGGAAGTGATGGGTAAACGTAAAAGAGGAAGGCCAAAACATCAATGGGGCGATAAAGTTAGAGCCAATATGAAGAAGTATAAATTAGATAAAAGAGATAGTATGAATAACATAAAGTGGAGAGATATTGAATGAGCTTACCACCAGAAAAGGTAAAAAGCGAAAGAAAAAAATAAGGGTACCCACCCTAGCCAATGACGATACTGCCTTCCCTCTATCAAATCAAAATTAGCAAAGAGAATACAAAATGACCCCCCCCCCCCTATTCAAATGACGATATAGTATATTCATAACTAGCTACCCCACCCTCTCAATTTTAATAAATTTTATCATTACGTACTCGATAGTTTAGTTTGTTTAGCGTTGGCAGTGTTAATGTTTAAATTCCATTGATTCAGGTTAGAAGAACTAAATAATTTAGCAGTGTTAATTATGGATTTTTGTTTTCGCCTTATATCCAACGCCCTAGAGTTATTAACAATTCTTTGCTTATAGTAAACATTTAAGGATCTGTGACCAAGGAGTAGTCCTAAAATTTTAAAAATATTTATATATCCAGTAACTCCATTTGAAATATTTGTAATAATCTTTAGTGTTGAATAAATATTTATACCATTTGGTAAAGCTAATTGAAAGATATCTTCCTGAGTTATGTAGCTTTCATCTTTTGAATCGGATATATTTTTCAAGATATTATAGGATATACCAAACACATTATCTATC